AGCAGCAGTGCGGGGATGGGGGGCTACAGCAAATTTAAGAGTGGCTGTAGCCCACCCCGTAGCATTCCCCCTCCCAGCACTGTTGCCACCTGTCCCAAACCCAGCCCTGGCCTGGTGCCCTGCTGGGAAGAGCCTGCCACAGCCCCTGGCCCTGAACCCACAGCAGCAGCCTGCCCTTGCCCCCGCACAGATCCAGGGGGCACATGCCCCCCCTGCCTCTCCTAGGGCGCATGCAGCAGCCGGAATCCATGGCTTCCCTGGGGGTGTGTGTAGTGGCGGGGCCCACTTCCTCTGCCCCAGCCTCACCCCCTCCCTCACCACAGGGGCCTTGATTTGCACCCGCTCCCCCATACACCACTTCCCCCCCCCCAACTTACCAGCTAGATGCTGCTTTCCAAGCTGCCAGGCTACATATTGGCAATTGGATCTGTATCGGCCAATATGGCTCATTTAATAATCCTCCCTCAATATTGGCCTAAATAATCTTTACTGGTTCACCCCTGTAGAATACTGTTGTGTATACTGTGCTAAGTACTAGTTTGCATGGCCATGGTTCCTGTTGCATCTCTGATCCTTGAAGTAGTGCTGGAGAAATGGGTGGAAACCAAGCTTTGAACTGTGAACCTCTCAACACTTGACAAGTGCATAACTACTTTCTTTGAATATAAACTGCTGAGAAATGAGTACCTAGAAGGACTAAGCATTTGAATGTGGGGATGTAGGATCAGACTCTCACAAAGCTGATTTCGCTCTTAAAGTTCTTCATTCGGATACCAGGTGGTCCGTGCTGGCTTTTAAGTGATGAACAGCATTATGAAAAGCCTATCCATTCTTGATAGGGGGCTGATTTTTTTAGCCCAGTAACCTGGAAGAAGAGATACTGTCTTGCTCAAAGTGCACAAAAAAAATCGCTTTTCCTTTCAGCTGCCCCTAAAGGCAAACTGGCCCATCAGCACTGCCTCTACTCATGCTGTCAATTGAGTCGTGGTGGAATAGACCAGCATCACCAAATCAGCCATGTAGGACTGCAGGGATGCCCTGCAGGAGGGTTTCTGCACCTTCCTACAATTCAAGTAACCACAAGAAACTTGTTGGCAAGAAATTCCTTCTAGCAATTAAAAATTGTCTATGATGCATGCACACAGCTCTTTATGTTGGTTCCTTTTTTTTTTTTTAGGGAATTGGTTGAACACTGGGATGAACCAACCGAGTCAACTGTGATGAGATTTTTAGCAGTGATCCTGGATGACCTCTTGGGGTCCCTTCCAGCCTTGTAACTGAATATGCAATCTTAGATCAGTTGGTATTTGCCCTCGAACTGCACTGGGGCAAAAAACCACTAAATCTTTCTCTGTATGGAACTGAGACCTTCAGTTCTAGCAAATACTATGGCCTTGTATGACTATACCAGAGTCTTAGACCACCTACTGTTGCTTTATCCACTTTCTTTTTTTTGTTGTGGTTGGAATTTGCAGGCTAAACTCTTCCCAGTTTCTCTGTTCACTCCTCAGTTTTCCCGAGAGCTTCCTGTGCAGGTAGCTATGGAACTGTTCAGTTTGTCATAACCTTAATGATGACGATTGATAGTAAGATGGTAAAAAACGCAAGGTTAGGTTCATCAGTTTCAAGGGAATGGGGGTGTAGAGAAGAGATTGGGCATACTAATAAACAGTGTCCAGTAGTAAAGTCGCAGTATCTACCAGTTTGGGCTGATTGTTTGAGGTGTACAATTTTTGCTACCCTGGTGCTCTTCCTTAAAGATTATGTTGTATGGCACTTGAAGTAATGGCTAAATCAGAGGCTTAAAGAGTCTTTTGAGGCTATAGGCTATGTCTATTAAATGCTGTATGCGTGAGTCTTTACTACCTGGCACGTCTCTTTTTGTGTCAACAGACCCAATATCTCTTTCTTTTTCTTTTAAACAGTGGTTTGGGGAGCAGAATCTTGTGTGCCTGAACTGCTTGAATTTTAAAAAGTTGATGGAACAAATCCCATTGCCTTCCTAAACTGAGTATGCATTTTAATAATTGGTCCTCTCTATACTTCATATTAAATGCTGTCAGCAGAATTGGGTTTGACAGCAGTTTGGGGAAATCTAGTGTTTAAAATTCCTTTGACTAGTTGATATGGCTTCAGTAAGAATGCAGGCAAGGAATGCAGTATACCAAGGTTGAAGAGGTCCCTGGCCCTCTTGGTGGGGTCTCTTTGGAGCCTGCAGATTTTTAAGGCCTTGAATGTTTCAGTCAAGGTATCTAAAATACTAACTTTGGAAAAATTAACCTGTATCTTGGACTTCCCTAGCACCTTTCTTATGGAAGAATCTCAGACAACTTTACAAACTGACATGAATTCCTTTACCTGCCACTGAAATGCAGCCACTTCTGGATGGGACTTGGCAGCTGTCTAATAGCACAAGGCAACAGTAAACAGTTTGAGGAAAGGAAGTGAGGAGTACCTTTTCCAAATGAAACTTCAGGGGGAGCTTAGGTAGGCAGAATGTAACTACAACATGGAATTTACTCTGGACGCTAGAGTTTATATCCCACTACTTCAGAAGAGATGCTCGCTGCACACACTGCTTTAACATGGTAGTCTTGAGCAGCATAGTGTCCCTGAACACACTGAACTGTAGGACCAGTACTGATCAGGAGGGAAATGTGCCACCTCACTTGCTGTGGCACTACTTACAGTGCCAAGGGTTTTCTTTTTCTTCCCATATGACAAGCCTTGTCTTGCACTGAGGTCAAAGATGGTACAGCTTAAACTGTGCCATCTTCCATAGAATTGCAGCTTGCCTTTTTTTTTTTAAGGCTATACATCGACTAATCAGTCTAGATTACTCAGGTAGCTTAGTCCTAGATCACTCGGGTAGCTGACTCTTCTCTGTTCATATCTTCCTTGTCCTCCTTGTACCAGATGCTGACCCTGAGGTGACCGTGGCAATGCTGCGATGGATCTACACAGATGAGTTAGAGCTGAAAGAAGATGATGTTTTCTTGACAGAACTGATGAAACTAGCTAATCGGTTTCAGCTACAGCTCCTTAGGGAAAGGCAAGTCTTGGTGAATAAAATCAAACTCTGCGACCTCTTGTGGCTAGAGTCTAATCAGGGGAATTAGCCACTTGTAGTAGTAATAGTAGCAGATGTTGCTCAACTCCTGGGTCTGAATAAAAATTGGCTTGGTTATTTGTATAACATGATTTTTCAAACGATAAGAAATTGAGATATTTCCTTAATATTGGTAGATGAACCACTTGCTATAATATTTTATGTATTCGCAGCTAATCAGTTGCATAAACACTTGCTATAATATTTTATGTATTCGCAGCTTATCATTTGCATAACCCTGCCTATAACTTGATATCATTGGCCAGCCTAAGTAGGTAGCAACTTTCATAGGAAAGTATTTGGCTTTAAGTCTGTCATAGTAATGGGTACCCTTTAGTGACTTGGGGTCCTTGATTTAGGATCTTGTTTTGGCAACAATATTTTTCTGTGTCATTAAAGTTGCCATTACAAAGACTGCTAGTGGTTCAGAACAAAAGGGAAGTTGCAGAGTTGTGTTTCTCAGTAATATATTGGCCATTCCAAATGTACATTTGGACTGCCTTAATTATAAATTAAACATTTCTTTTTTTAAAAACTAAATACAGGCTGCCAAATGAGACCTAGGGAAGTGGGGAGGCAGGATGATTACAGGTGTCTGTCTTGTTTCTCATCCCATTTTTTCCAAAGGACAGAAAGAGGCTTTGACCTTTTATAGTCACGAGTTGACTCTAGAGGTGCGTCCACATATGCAGGCACATGCACTTGCAGCAGCTCAAATAGGAGCGGCACAAATTTGAGCCAGGCAAGCACTTTTTCATGTGGGGCAAGTTGTGCCACTTGGGGTAAATTAACCCTGCCCAGCTCGTTCTAGATCTGCAGCCAGGGGGAGCTAGAGCCTGGGGCCACCACCTGTGCTGGCCCAGCAGTATAAAAACCTCCCCTGGCAAGCAGCTGAGGGCTACTTGCTCTCAGGAGCTTCTGGGGCCTGGCCAGTTGGTATCTGGGGACACTAGCCCCTTATGCCAGCTGGACTGCTGTAGCAGCCCTGACAGAGTTCCCTGCACCCTCTACCCACTGCAACAGTCTGGCAGTAACTGCTTGGCTATGACCTGCTGCCACATGTGATAGCATGTGGCCCCAAGGCTGCATGCCTGCCAGACCTGGATGGGGATTCCTGCCAGACCTGGATGGGGATTGCAGGGCTGCAGCAGAGGCATCTGCATCTCTGGGCCAGCTGCCAGCAGGCTGTGGCTGCACAGTTGGCCTTTGTGTGGCACTACTGCCATGTATGACGCTGCCCTGCCACCTGGGCAGCTGTTGCCCTGAAGATGTTCCAAGTGTGGCCTGCTTTGAACTGTCGAAGCATGTCCTCCTGGCCTCAAGTGGCCAGGAGGTCAGCCACCTCCAGCTGGGTCCTGGGTGCCAGCTCTGAGCAGGCTTCTCTGCCTGGGTCCTGCCACTTGCCTCACTAGCAGGAATTCTGGTGTTCCCTATTTAAAAGCTGCAAAATCTCTGATTTAAAAAAAAAAAATAAAAAAATCCCAAATTCACTCTTTAAAATACTTGAAAATCCATGTTCCTCTGCAACTTAAAACAAAAGACCACTAATAGAGAGAGAGAGAGAGATCAGTTGGGAAACGTTTTATTGATATATTTACAGTTCTAAAGCAACTTGGAAGCCTACCAGTGTCTCTGTCATCATAATAAAATAAATTCTAAACATTTAAATGTTTTGAGGTTTGCTTTTGCTCCCCTCAGGGCTAACTGCTCACCCCCACAGCAGCTGTCTGGCACTCAGCGGGGCCTGCACCACTCGCAGGAACTGTGTGTCCATCCCAGGCTGGGTCCTGCCTCTAGCAACATCGCTGCCAGACCCACGGTGTCTGTGTGGAGAGAGCGCACGATGGGACCTGGCCCAGCACAGCCCACTAGCACACCTTTGCACAGGAACGGGAAGCGCAGCTCCAGGTTGCGTGGCTTCTGTGCAAAGGTGTGCCTCGCTGGCCCAGGCAGCTAGTCTGTCTTCCATGAGGCTCAGGTGGCGATGCGCCATTGCCATCCATGGCTGCCTGAGACTCATGGAAAATGTGCCCTGCTCACCTGACCCAAAGCCAGTGCATCTTTGCATAGGAGCTGGGTGTCCTGGAGCTGCACCTCCTGCGCAAAGGCATGCTAGCGGGCCAGGTGGGGTCCCACTGCGTGCTTTGTGGAGGGACTCGAGCAGTGGCTGCTGCATACCTGCTGCCCCACCTGTCCCCTGCAGCACCAGCAGCAGTAGCCAGTATGGCTGTGGCTCAGCTGCAAGCACAGCCAGTGACGACGCAGTGCTGTGAGACCCAGGCTCTGTGCATGCTGAACAGACCCGGCCTGCTAGTGCACGGCTTTGAATAGGACAAGGAAAGCCGTGGACTAGTGGGCCGAGTCTGTTCAACGTGTACAGAGCCCAGGTCACAGCGCCACATCACTGCCAGCTATGTCTGCAGCCAGGCCACAGCTGCATTGGCTGCTGCTGCCAGTGCCCATGAGCAGGCAGCCAGGCATGTGGCAGCCCCTGCTCAACCTCCTCCACAAACCCATCTACAGATGGCACATCCCTTTTTTCCACACCCCCTGCCACTCCCCACACCCACATCTCTACTTACCTGTGATAGTACCCGGGTCCCAATCCTTGCCACACTTCTCCTTGCCCCAGCATTCTAAGGGTTCATGTCCTGCATGCTGGGGCAGCAGAAGCACCATAGAAATGCTCTGGCTAGAAACCAGAGAGCCTCTCTGGAGGACTAGCTCCTGGGTTACCTTGGGGTACAGTTGGGGGCCATGCCATGCCTCACTCTCTTCCTCCCCCC